CCCCCTCACAGGGGCCCCCAGCCCTGATGGCAGCCCCGGGGCAGGGGCACCCCGCACAGCCCTCCCCATAGCCGTGTCGGGAGGCAGTCAGTCAGAAGCTGACCAACTTGTACACTGTTTAGTTAGAGGTAACCATGTGGGTGATAATATTCTAATTAGCTCAATCAGATTTTTTTCCAACTCACAAGCCATCTGTTTCTGCACAAGTATTGGAGTTTTATTTAACGCTCACCCACACAGTGTGGATTCAGCAGTGGGCAGGTGAATGAGATCATTAGTCTGAACAAAATGACTAAGATTCTGCCTAACTTTTTGCATGGTTTCATAACCTGCATGCATTGTTAGCAATGGGTAATAGTTTGTTAAAATGCAGTGGGTTGCAAGTGAAATCAGTATTAACAGCCATTGTTTTTGCCGTATAAATATTTACTAATACATTGGTTAGTCCTGAGTCAACAGATGATGATCTGTAGTCCTGCTATAAGAGAATAAAATGTTTTATTCAGGATTCTGGTTTGATGTGTATTTGACATACTGTTCTTGCCTAGATCAAGAGCGTGACTTGGGAACGTTGTAGAACCAAGGGTGGGTACAGTAAGGAAGATGAATATTAATCAGTAGTAAAATCAATGTATTTTTGTCTTATTTCAGCAGAATAGGACCTCCGTCCTCTCCTACAGGAGGAGAGAAAGAGGAAAATCCTGCTCTGCTAGCCGAGAATTGTTTCAGGGAACTACTAGGACGTGCAACCTATGGAAATATGAGTAACGCTGTCAGACCAGTTTTTGCGTAAGTTGAAAATTCATGGAAGGTCTTATCTTAAGGGACTTTTTTTTTTTAATTTCATCCTCTAATTATGTTGCATTAGATTCCTTCGTCCTTTTCAACCCAAAGGTTTCCATTCATGTTTCTTCAAAAAATTGCTTCTCTTTTAATCTCACTTCTTTGTTGCCTGTCTGTTAACTTGAAGATACTTACGGAGAAACGTGTCCCATTTTACTGGTTTGAGAAGTGCAGTATAATGATTTCGATGGGTTGTTGCCTCATCTGGCCTTTCTTTTGAACGTGAAACTGTTTATTCACAATATTAATGTCCCATAGGTGACTGTTGCAGTCAGTGAAGAGGCAAGCCAAGTAAAATACAAGTAGCACAAGGGAATACTGTGCCCAGATTAATACATAAAGTTAAGATTTCTACTTTCTTGCTGTTTTCTTCCAAGGCCTGTTTTGATATTCTGTGAGGAATATGTTTAATGGCTCATTTAGTAGTGAATGGCAGATGTGCACACAGTATGCACATTACGCACAAATGCACACAGTACAAATTACAGCTGATGTATTAACTATCAAGTCCAGTGTTTTTCAATTCTTTGCATTGCCCCAGTTGCTTCCTTAAAAATATGATGTGAAAAAAGCTATAAGCATTGAGATAACAAATCTGCTTCTTTCACCTCTGCTAGTGTCTGCAAAGTAGGCGTGGTCTCAGGAGAAATCTTTTCAGGAAGCTCTAGACTCGGTGATACTACTTTCAAACCCTGGCTTTTCCTGGTGATGAGGAGAACTGCTTGCTCCTTGTTGTAGATTTTCAAGATACCCACCTGTTACGGGAATATCTTCTCTTAGATGGCGTAGTTCTTCCCACAAAGACTAAGTATTCTATTCATACACTTGAAAGACTTTCAAGCTACTGAAAGCCATTTTTAAGTTACTACTGGTAAGTAAGAACAGAAATGGTAAGAGAAGATAGGGTAGGTATTGAGGGCAGAAAAATTTTGTAGCCCCTTGTTCTTCATCCAAAAGCATTAAATGCAAACAACTGCACTATTATCTTACTTTCCATGTGTACCTATTATACCAATCTGATAGGAGTTTAACTGTTGCAAAGTTGAGGTTTTTATTAAAAAAATTTCATCCTTTCGCATTCTTCCAAAATACCTGCCACTTGAGTGAATGTTTAGGTACTAAACAGTCTGGATGGACTATTTGGAACTATACTGCAGCTGCTTTCTTACCACTTTGCAGTTCCTTTTATGGGCTTATCTCACAACTTTATAAGTATGTGCAGTTACTTCAGTCTTTTGAATCATTTCAGTATCAGGGAAGTTTCCCACAAATAATTCCAGATTCCCTAGACTAGAGTTAGTGCTTAGTTTGGGATTTGAGAAGGTGTCATACCTGCATTTCCTGTGGCAGATCTGAAGCTTTATGTATTGACAGTGTTATTTCCAGCTTAATTTCTTTTCTTACTCACTATGATCCTGAGGAACCGCTTGAGTCTTTGTGCACCTCTGTGTGCCACATGCTGCATTTGTGCACTGAATCAGATAATGACCAGTTACTCAGAATATATTATCTCTTCTATGAATAGAGAGCCTTTATGGTCACCATTATTGTGTTCCATTTTGAAGAAGAATTGCCAAATAAATTTATCTTTTTATAAATAACTGCTGTAAAGGTTTAGTACTTTTGAAGAACAAGAGATGCAGGAAATGCAATTTCCAAGCTGTTTTTCCTGAACAAAAAGGGAGTGTTCTATCTATCAGCTTCACTTTGTGAATGAGCAGAACTGGTAGAATGAAAGTTTGAGATAAAGTGCAGTGGACTCACTATCTGATTGAAAAACCTGACTTAGTTTATGTATACTTGATTGGAAAACAGTTTCTCCTAACAGCTTTCAACAATTTCACAGCTTTTAAGAAAGCTCTGGAAATAAAGATAAGGCCACTTACGACAGTGTTAACATTGAAGGTGCAGGTATAGTTCTCCACTTGAAGGCTTGCTTCATGTGGCATTGGAATATCAGTCAACATGCTATCATTTCCTTGCAAAACTGAGGGAATAGTGCTTCTTGCATCATGAGGCTGAATACATTCAATAATTGAAGGATTTAAATATAGTGAAGATAGTTGAAATCTGAAGTCAGTCTCCTGGTATGGGTTTGGATTGACCTTAATTCCCTTTGCCTTTGGCAGAAAATCTCCATGGTTATAAGTGTCTACATGTAGTAGCTAGAAATTCTCAAATTCTCATTTTTAATGAAACCTGACAGACCAAACTGGCAAACAGCGTAATGAAAGTAAAAAATTTTGTATTAATATGATACGGAGAAATTTTGTGTCAACAGTCACAAGCTATGTAGACTTACTTAGCATGAATTTGCAGTAGTGAATACATTAGGATCTCCAGAGGGATACAGAAATCTAGCGAATATCAACAGCTTCCCAAGTATAACAAGTTAACATCCATTCATCTCACTGTATTTCCATTCTTGTGAGTTATCACATCATCTCTGCTAGGGTTTTGAATATCAAAAGACTGGTGTTTAATATTCTTTCAGCAAACGTGATGCATAAGAAGATTGTTTTATATATTCCCATACATGCCTCAGTTCTGCTTTCTAATCACCAGTATCAATTTGTCATTTTGTACTGTAATGATTGCTTGCATGTGTGACAATGTGAGTGAATTCGGGGACTGTTAGTGGCTCTCACTCCATAAAGTAGTGATTTGCGCCATTGGTTCTGCTGTTCCTTTTAATTTGAGAAACCTAATTGTGCACATTTGCTACATATATGCAGCAGATCTTAATGTAAGGCAGAGTTTGGTATTTGTTAATCCAGCAATAAAATCTTTTGCAATCTTACTTAGATATTCTTTGTTAAAAGAAATGTAATTTGGGAAAAAAAATAGTCAGGATGTGACTAAATGCACCATGCTGAAAATACCATTTCCTGTCTTTTACAAAAACAAAACTATATTGAATATACTGCCTGCATTATGACGAGTAAAATATATCAGCTACAGTAATCTAATACTCCTTTTCTTAGCAGGAAAATTCCAGTATACAAAGTATGCTGCCCATTGAGCTATTACACAAAGCATTAACCTAGGCTGTCATCTTCCCCCTGCTGTCTTCCCATCAGTTCAGCTACCTGAAGCAGCTAATACTTTGCCTTTCTGGGAAAAGAAAACTGTATGTCTTGTTCTGAGAGGAAAGGTTTTTTAAAAAAAATTGGTATAAGATGTAGCTGACCATAATCTGCCTGAATGGATCTTTGGGGCAGATAAAGAGGAACTGTCAAGGGTAACAGAGAATGGATGCTATCTTGAAAGATAAAAGGATCGGTTCCAATTAGGAGAAGATAGTGGAGAGTATGATTTTGTATTTGATGAGACAAAAAGAAAATAGGTTAGCTAAAATAAGCTATCATGTGCAAGAAATGATGGACTGTACTGGAATGATATTAGGGAGAAAGAAGACGTGAATAAATATCTTATGAGCCGCTAAGCCTTGAAGGATTTAAAGAGGTAATTTTTTTTGTCTTTCTACCCCAAGGCAGGATTAAATATACCTGTGTGTTTGGAATGTGCATAAAGGTAGCTATCCCCAACAGGTAGTCCAGTCTAATATTTAGTAATGCAAATACACTGTTATCTTGGCAGACAAACACCTTTAAAATTCCTGAAATTCTTCCCTGTAGGGATTTCTATTAAAGGTATGTAATGTGTCAAAATGGCAGTACTTTTTTTTTTTTTTTAATGCTCTGCAATAGACTGCAAGATAATTCAGGGCACAGGAGAGGGTAGCTTTATGCCATCTGGTTTAATGAACCTTGAAGGAGACCTGTGTGCTCGGTGGGGTCACTAGGCTGGTAGCAGCTGGCCAGTGAGTTAATTGAGACCTCCAGATTCTAGGCAAAGTCAGTTAAAGCATCCAGTCAGTCCTTCTGTGTTCAGAGTACTGACTTCTTTCACCTGTATGTTTTCAAGTTTGTTATTTGAAGCATCTTATGTTTCTTATGTTCTTTGAGAAAGGGCAGACCAGTAGTGGTTCTGTAACTGAGATACCTGTTTAGAAACACTACCTAAATTCAGTTTCTGTAAGAAAGGTTTTTGTGGGTGTTGGGGTTTGTTTTGGTTTTCTGTGGGTTTATTGGGTTTGGTGGTTGTTTTTTTTTTTATTTTACCTAAATCATTCCAGTTAAAAGGCATTCCAAATTACTTGTATCAGTCTTCTATATTTTAAGCATTTATTTTTGTCATGCTTTCCCAGATACTCAGATCTCCTTTTTGGAGAATTTGATGTGTGCCCTTTTCATAGCTTTCAGCATAGTGCTTAAGCAGAATTTCTTGTCTTTGCTTGAAGGTGAAAGTTTTTCATCAGTAGTTCCTATACCATTTAAAGAGAAACTGATGCATTTATCTGTCTGATTTTGGTTTGATATTTCTTGCAGAAAGTGTTAAAATGCTTCAGAGTGATAAAGGGATATATACACAAAGAGTAGCTGGTTTTTATTTTCCATATATATTGTTAATGAAACCACTGTGAAAACAAAAATAGTTCTTAAAGTTTCTATTCTGGATGTAACATTCAGCCATAATTATTTTGTTGCTCTGATTCAAAACAAATTCTTTATCTTATTTAGAAGATAAGTTTGTCAAGGTATTATAACCATCCTCTTCAGTGTGTCTCTTTCATGTAAATAAGCATATAATGTCACAGCCATTTTTATGCTGGCACTTGTATGGAAACAGTATATTCTTAACTGTACATCTTTGGTATGACTAGGTTCCTTGAATTCCTGCAACTAGAAGATAAGGAATTTGTTACAGCCAAATGTTTTGTGATCACATCCTAAACCTTGGAAACAAATGCTTTTCTGAAGTTCTAGTTATCTCACCAAGTTAATAAGTCATTGTTTAGAAGCTTTATGTAAGGAAATAATCCTTTTGAGGTGAATTGTGAGAAAACTGTAAGATGCCATTTATTGGATCTGTGGAATGTCATTATTTCAGGTCCCTTAATTTTTGGTTACAGGCATTTAGACCACCATAGACTATGGGATCCCAATGAGTTTGCTGTTTCCTGCTTCAAAATCATCATGTATTCTATACAGGTAGGATTTTCCCCAGGGTTTGTTTTCCTTGCATACATGTTTCAAGCACATGAGACAGGGTTAAATGCTCGCCTCACCATGAGAGTGATAGACAGTAGATGAAGTCAAAGAATACAGAAGATCCCTTTTCATAACTCCTTAGCCTTATTCTTTAAAGTTTTCAAATAATTACCTAATCGTGGTTTATGATCAGAGTTTTTCTGATTTACTTTCAATTAATGTACACTTGTAGAAGAACAAAGATATTAAGGGATTCTTGATGGAAGGTAACACGTAGGTCCCTGAGCAAGCTCCAGAGCAAGGAGCAGGTTATCCATACTGATCTGACATTGTACTTGATAAATAAATCTGTCTTAAGTTGGTCATGTCTCTGTGCCAATACAGCTGTGCTGCTTTTAAAACCTGAGAAACCAACTTCACATGGAACTGTGTTGTGCTAATTGATTTTTACTAGTGGGCAACCTCTGTTGTCTGTTGTAAACATGATCAAAGTCTGATTCTTGGATGCATCAAGTGCAGACACCCAAAAGATAAAGTAAAAATATCCAGGTTTGTGGAAGAAAGCTCAGTTTTCTCAGTGTTTGTATCGATGATGCTTTTTTGTAAGACCAGCTGAAGTCCTTGAACTGCAGTTAGCTGAATGAAGTACCACTTCATGCTTCCTCTCTTCTTGTAGATGTCCCTGGATATTTTAATAATGTAAGCTTTTTTATACTGTGCTGGATGGACCTGTGTGGCTTCATCTGTCGTGGTAGTTTTTTTAATCTGTATTGAATCATTAATTGATTAAAATTTAGATAAATTTATGCGTAAGAATGTTGCAGAATAGGATCATGGTCGTGACTACAGCTGAATGGTGTATGAGTTTATTCTTACTAAAGCCACAGATGAAGCTTTTCTTTCTGCTTGTTTGTTTGTTAATAGGCACAATATTCCCACCATGTAATACAAGAAATTCTTGGACACCTTGATGTTCGCAAAAGGGACTCCCCACGAGTTCGTGCTGGCATTATTCAGGTTCTGTTGGAAGCGGTTGCAATAGCAGCCAAAGGGTCAATAGGTAAGTCATCTTATATTAAAGGCGTCAGGTCAAAGGATAGATGTGAACGGTGTTGCTCAGTTTTGCTTTGTTTTCAGACTGAATGAAAGCATATGTTTTGAGAAGGTTTTGTATTTATTAATTTTTTTCTCCTTTGTGCTGATAAAACACTTGAAATCTTACATGGTTTACAATTACTCAAATGTACTTACTTGGTCATTTGACTGTTCTATAATAATTTGCATTGAAAAAATTAATAGATGTATTTTTACAGCCTTGTGAAAGGCAGGAATTCCTATTGGTAGGAAGTCACAAAGTCTGAGAATTATGTGTGACTAGAAAATGTCAAGAGCACTGTTACTTTGTGATACAGCTGCTGTGAGATGAGTGGTAATATAGGATTCAAGAGTAGAATGATCTTTGAGAAATTTTACCCTAGTAGCTGTGAAGCAGCTGAATTGAGGTGAATTACGTCATTTAAGGTAGTGTAATTCCTTGAAATAAGAGTAGTTATGAAGATGTGTACACACATGAGCTCTGCTGTTGTTTTTCTTTGGTCTCCTGCTGAAACATTACTGGTTTGCTTCATTAGCTTGAGTCTGAGCCTGTCCTTTCTGTTTATACAAGACCCACTTTCATGCACAGACTTGTGAAGTCTTTTACCAGATTATGTGAACAGCTCATTATTTGATCCAACATATAGAACTGAATTTTAGTAGCAGGTTTTGAAATAACTGAAATTCAGGTGCAAGTACCTGCAGTTTAACCCATTGTTAATGCGTAATTTCAGCAACCACTCATATTTTCTATGTAAAACTTGCATGGTGGGTTGGCTCCGGCCAACAGCCGTTTGCTCATTGCCCTTTCCTACAGCACAGGGTGAAGGTAGAAAGAAGGTGAGAAGTCTCATGGATCAAAATAAAGACAATTTAATTGGTGAAGCAAAAGCTGCGTGAACGGGGAAAGCAGAGGAATTTATTCAGCACTTCCCACTGACAGGCAGACGTTTAGCTGCTTCCTGGAAAGCAGGGCCTCAGCATGTGTAATGGTTTCTTGGGAAGACAAATGCAATATGAACAAATGTCCCCCCCTTCCTTCTCCTTGAGCTTTTATTGCTGAGCATGACGTCATGTTGTATGGAATAGCCCTTTGGTCAGTTTGGGCCAGCTGTCCCAGTCTGTGTCTCCTCCCAGTTTCTTGCATACTCCAGCCTATTCCTGTAGGGACAGAGTGGGGAAAAAGAAAAAGCCTAGATGCTTGCTAGCACTGTTAAGCAACAGCTGAAACACTGGTGTGTTGTCAACACTATTTTAGTCACAAATCCAAAGCACAGCATCACCCAGCCTGCTAAGAAGAAAGTTAACTCCATCCCAGCAAGGCACTGTCGAACTTGATAATAATGGTTTATACATACATACCTGACAGCATTTCCCGATTCCAAAATAATTTCTAAAATACCAGGATGTAGGCACATTTCAAAAGTTTATCCCTAGGCTATATCCTTCAAACACTGTATTTCACTTGTGTTTTTCCGCTTAATCTGATTTCTTCTGAAAAGGGATTGAAAAGGTTAGTTTTCATTTTCTTAAGGCACCTTTCTCTTGACAGGTGCAATCATTGTTATGTGTTGTTTCCAGGCCCAACGGTTCTGGAGGTTTTCAATACCTTGTTGAAGCATTTGCGCATCAGTGTTGACTTTGAGCTGGGTGATAGGCGCAGTTCAGCGGGAAGTGCCACTTGCAGCACAAGCTCCAAGGAGAGTGATGAAAGGATTGTCCAGAATGCTATTATTCAAACAATTGGTGAGTAATGACAGTAACATAGGCTCACTTAATAGTCCTCCCCTTCTCCCCCTTTCTCCATGAGATGGTATTAAAACAGCTTGAATCAAAAAGGAATAATGGCAGGTATGGTATCTCTGATTGTACTTACTTCTAAATCTCAGGCTCACTTTACAGATTTGACTTCTGAAAGACTGTTCTTTTAATTGTTAACTGAGCAGATAGCCAAGAAGCTCAATGAAAATTAAAAATGCTTGTGGACTTATAATAAATATGTTGGTTATATTATTATATGGCCGTTGAAATATAGACATAATTTTGTACCTTTGGTACAGAACTAATATTAGTCCTTTTATGAAAATCATACTGCAAGCAATCATATACAGTAATATATTTTAGTAAGTACTACTTGAAAATTTGTAGGAATCATTTTGTACCTTTGGTACAGAACTAATATTAGTCCTTTTATGAAAATCATACTGCAAGCAATCATATACAGTAATATATTTTAGTAAGTACTACTTGAAAATTTGTAGAAGCCAATGTTAAACATAGCGGCAACAATGACACCTAATGGCTGCTTGTGCTACAACAACTTAACTGAAGTACTTTTAAACACAATACTGAAAATAAGAGCAACAATTTCTGCAAATGATTTCATTAAAATAGCCTCTCCCCTTTTTTCAGATTTTCCTTTATGGTAGTGATATATTGCAGTGCATTTATGATGTCTGTTCCTTTACTTAAAGAACAAGGGGGAATGTAACTTAAATGTTGTTCGCTAATCTGTACCTTTGCTTATGCCTTGAAGCTTTCTAGAGCAGTAGCAAATATGTGGTAGATTATTTCTCACCATTACAGTAAAACTTCAAGTTAAACTGTTAACCCTCCACCCCCCCAAAAAAAATGCCCAAAAAACCGACAATCCAACCTATTAAAGTAAATCTTCTTTCTATCAAAGTTACACTTATACTATTGCACAGCAACAGGATAGAATAGAATATCTCAACTCTGACAAGCTTGATGCTGTGACCACTTACCTGGGGAGCCTGTTCCAGTGACCGACCACCCTCTTGGTGAAGAACCTTTTCCTGATGTCCCATCTGAACTTCCCCTGACACATCTTTGTTCCATTTCCTCGTGTCCTATTGCTGGTCACCAGAGAGAGGAGATCAGCACCTCCCGCTCCGCTGCCCCCCGTGAGGAAGGTGTAGACTGCAATGAGGTCACCTCTCAGCTTTCTCTTCTCCAAGCTGAACAAGCCAAGTGACCCCAGTAGCTCCTCATAAGTCTTGCCCTTGAGGACTTTCACTATCTTGGTCACCCTCCTCTGGACATACTCTAATAGTTTGATGTCCTCCTTATATTGAGGCGCCCAAAACTGCACACAGGACTTGAGGAGGGGCCACACTAGTGCCCTGTAGAGTGGGACAGTCATCTCCCTCGACCAGCTAGCTATGCTGTGCTTGATGCACCCCAGGACATGGTTGGCCTTTTTGGCTGCCAGGGCATGCTGTTGACTCCTTTTCAACTTTCCATCAACCCAGAGAGCCAGATCTCTTACTGTGGGGCTGCCCTCCAGCCTGTCGTCCCCCAGTTTGTACGTATAACTAGGATTACCCTGTCCCAGGTGGAGAATCCTGTGCTTGCTCTTACTAAATTTCATACAGTTGGTGGTTGCACAGCTCTCTAGTCTATCCAGATCTCTCTGTAAGGCCTGTCTACCCTTGAGGGAGTCCACAGCTCTTCCTAGTTTAGTATTGTTGGCAAACTTACTTAATGTACATTCGATTCCTGCATCCAGATCATTTATAAAACTGAAGAGAACTGTCTCTAAAATTGAGCCCTGGGGAACCCCACTGTTGAGTGGCTGCCAGCCTGATGTAACCCCATTTACTATAAGTCTTTGAGCCTGACCCATCAGCCAGTTGCTTATCCAACATATTATGGACTTGGCTAGCTGTATGTTGGACATTTTATCCAGAAGGATACTGTGAAAGACAGTATTAAAAGCTCTGCTAAAATCCAAACCCACCACATCTGCTGGCTTCCCTTGGTCAACTAGATGGGTGACCTTGTCATAACAGGAAATCAAGTTGGTTAAGTAGGACTTTCCCGTTGTGAACCTGTGCTGGCTGTGACCAATGACTGCGTTGTCTCAAGTGTTTCCCAATAACTCCCAGAATAACCTTCTCCATAATTTTACCAGTCACTGAAGTGAGACAGACAGGCCTGTAATTACCAGGATCTTCCTTCTTACCCTTCTTGAAAATTGGGACAACGTTTGCTAGCTTCCAGTTGACTGAGACCTCCCCAGACTCCCAAGAAAAATAAAGGAGAGAGGTCGCGGGATGACATCGGCCAGCTCTTTCAGTACCCTGGGATGAGTCCCATCAGGCCCCACAGACATGTGCATCCAGCTGAAGCAGCAAGTCTCAAACAAGTTCAGCACTGGCCAGGAGTTTATCATCCCTTCAGTCACGGTCTTCCAACATGGGGCTTCGGGGGTCCCAGGGCCCGTCATCGGTGTTGAAGACAGAGGCGGAGAAGGCATTAAATGTCTCCGCTTTGTCTGCATCCTTATTTGTGAGGTGACCAACCTCATCAAGCAATGGACCAGTGTTATCTCTAATCCTCCTTTTGCTGTTAACATATTTAAAAAAGTCCTTTTTGTTCTCCTTCACAGTGCTGGCCAGCTTGAACTCTCATCAAGCTTTGGCCACACAAATTTTCTCCCTACAGAGGCAAACAGCATCTCTGTGGTCCTCCTGTGTTGCCTGTCCTTGCTTCCAGTGTCCACATACCTTCCTTTTTCACCTAAGTTCTAGAAGAAGATCCCTGCTCAGCCAAGCTGGTCTTCTGCCCTGCTTGCTTGACTTCTGACACTCTGGAATTGCCTGCTTCTGTGCTCTTAAGAGATGGCTCTTAAAAAGTGACCAGCATTTGTGGACCCCAATACCTTCAAAAGCAGATTCCCAGGGGACCTTACTAACTAGCTCCTTCAGCGGCCTGAAGTCCGCTCTCTCCATCCAGTTGAAGTTTTGCTGACAGTTTTTCTCCTTTAACCAACAATTTGAAACTCAGCTACTTCACGGTCACTGTGACCAAGACAGCCACCGATCACCACTTCACCCATGAGTCCCTCTCTGTTTACAAACAACAGATCTGTGAGGCTGCCTTTCCTAGTTGGCTCCCTTAGTATCTGGACCAAGAAGTTATCTTCAATGTGCTTCAGAAATTTCCTGGACTTATTTGTGTCTGCTGTATATTCCCAGTTGATGTCTGGGAAGTTAAAATCACCCATAAGGACAAGGGCAGTTCATCTAGAGATATCCCTTAATTCCTTGTAGGATAATTCATCGGTGGTGGTGTCCTGGCCGGCAGCAGCAGCAGCGCAACAACATCCGCTTTATTTGCTTTCCCCTTCATCCTTACCCAGAGGCTCTCAACCGTGTTGTCGCCCACTGCAAGCACCGTAGGATCCAACCCCTCCCTTACACGCAGCACCGCCCTCCGCCTCGCTGCCCTGCCTATCCCTCCTGAAAAGCCCAGAACTGGCCATCACGGCACACCAGTTGCAAGACTCATCCCACCAGGTTTCGCTTATGCCAATGATGTTGTAGCTCTGGGAACAGCCCAAAGCTTCTAGCTCCTCTTGTTTATTCCTCATGCTGTGCACATTAGTATAGAGACATTTCAAAGGTGCTCCAGAGTACTCAACACATTGTGGAGCAGAGCAAAGGACCTTGCTAGCACACCATTCCTCAAACATTGTCGTGCCGCCCCCAGGCTTATCTCTAGCAAGCCTGGTCTTATCCCTTTCCCCCTTCAAATTTAGTTTAAAGCTCTTTTGATGAGTCCTGATAGCTCCTGTGTGAAGATCCTTTTCCCCCTTTGAGACAGGTGTACCCTGTCAGTCTCCAGCAGGCCTGGTGTCATATAGACCGACCAATGATCAAAAAACCCAAAATTCTGCCAGTGACACCAGGCTCGGAGCCAGGTATTGATCTGCTGGCTCTTCCTGTTTCTTCCTTCATCACTCCCTGCAACTGGAAGGATAGAGGAGAACACTGCTTGTGCTTCTGATCCCTTAAACAGTTGTCCTAAGGCCCTGAAGTCTCTATTGATTGCCCTTGGACTTCTTATTGCAACTTCATTGCTGCCTACGTGAAAAAGCAATAATGGATAATAATCTGAGTGCTGTACCATGGTAGGAAATTTTCTCATCACAACTTTAACCCTGGCCCCAGGAAGGCATCAGACTTCCTTAAGAAGTGGTCAGGTTGACATACTGGGCATTCTGTTCCCCTCAGAAGAGAGTCCTATGACAGTGACCAGACTTTTTTTCTTTATGGAAATCTTTTTGACGCAGGGTGTAGGCCGACTTAACCTCGACGACACCTCCAAGCCAGATGAGCCATCGTCCTCGTTATTGTTCAGTTCCACTTGCAGAGCCTCATACTTACTATTCAAGGGCACTTCGGAAGGTGGGGCAGTCACAGAGGAGATGTGCCTGCTGCGCCAGGCAGGAACTTGTCACCATTGCTCCCTGTCCCTTAAGTCACTGTGTTCTGCTGGGAGGGAATAGGGAATCCTCTGTATCGTGTCCTGTCTGCCCGACAGGTCTGCCCCAGGGATGGTAGGGTGTGGTTCCAGTACGCTGTGTCCCTCTCAGACTCCCTGATACTCCTCAGCCTACTCGCCTCCTCCCACGTAGCGGAGGATTTCCCCTACCTGGGCACACCTCCCACATGTGCTCACTGCTGCCGTGGGCACTGCCATAAGAGCGGGGCACAGCCTGCAGCCCAGCACCTGCGTGGCAGTGTGTTCCCATCGGAGCTCTGTCTGGGAAGCTGTGTCAGCTGTGGCGCGCGCAGAGTTTAGAGAGGCCACCGCCTTCTGCTGGGTAGATGCCACTGCTCCCTGGTTGAGCTGGCAGAGCTACAGCACCCTTCTTGTGTCCCAGCTGCCACGGCACTCCGGGTCGCTAGTGGTCCCCAGGGGCTTCTTTTGTGGGTGTGGGGGCTTGGCCACCGTTGCTCCTGGCCCTGCCCAGGTCTTGTCAGCTGCTGTTGTGTGAGCTGCGAGCTCCTGGTGGGTCTCTCCAGTCCCCTTGAAGTTCCCCCGGTTCAGGAAACCCCCCCTGTACACTGCGCTTAGAGTGCTCCGCTGCCCGTTGTGCCAGCACAGGAGCTCCTCGCCTCAGCAGTCTCTGAAGTATTGGGCATGTAATACTCTCATACCACTGAGATTTCTGTTCGCCCACCTGTAATATTTAATGGTGACTTAAGAAGAGACAAAAGTAACAACACCGTGTTCCATGAGAAACGCTTCCAATTCCTCACTCTTTACAAATTAACAGAAGTCACATATTTAACTTCTTAATTAGATATTTAAAGGGGGATAAAATTAGAAAGTTTTAGGATTCAAAGAAGAAAGTGAGTGTCATGAAAAGACTCTGTAAAGTCATTCGGCAGAAATGAACATGTGTTACGCCCTAAAACAATCATAGTTTTATTCTTCATCTATTTTGACCTTGTAGATGTATTCCTTGTATTTATAAGGCTTTTCTTATAAAGAGAAGGGCCCGACATCTCTTTCCTTCTCTGATTTAATTCCATTTTCATTTAGGATTTTTTGGAAGCAATCTCCCAGATTACCAGAGATCAGAGATTATGATGTTCATTATGGGAAAAGTACCTGTTTTGGGGACAACTTCACAATCACTGGATACCAGTCACCTTGGGTTTGTATACCCTACATTTTTTTAATTTCTAATTAAAAATTTAGATTTTTGGAATCTTGATAAATTAAGTAGTGAAATAAATTAAGAAAAGTGAAATGCAAATTCTCACTCATTAGGGGCTGTATTAAATGCCATGCAGAATCAAGGCAGGCGCAGTGTCAGCAGTATAAAATCAATCTCCAGACACATTAGTGATAGAAAATACTTGGTTGGAATGCAACTTACTTTGCACTAAAACATTTCTTCTCTTCATACCTGTACAAATGTTTCTGAAATTATCTACTTAATGGTGGTTAATTCCATAACTTCTTATACGTGTGTTTTGTAAATGAGGGAAATTGAACTATGACTATGTTTTTTCAAATAGCTGCATAATTTACAAATTTTTTTTTTTCTTCATTCTGTACAAGCTAACTTCAGTTTAAGAAACAAATGACAGAAATTCCAGTGAATGTGTTTTGGTTTAGATTTTCCCTATTTATTTAGAAACAGGAAAAAGCTATAGGTGGGCAGACTCATGTCATAAACCCATAATTAAAAAGCTGCCATAGGCTGAAGTAATATTTTTCCTTGTAACATGAATAACTATGTTTAAACACTGCTTTTCCTCAGTGTGGGGTAAGTCACTGAAAAGGTTGCAGCTATTCTTTTCCGGTATGCATGGATACTTTGTACCACATATGTCTGATCCCCTGCTAGCTTAAGTAGGAAGTCATTGTCATTCTTCTGGCTTCTTGGTAGCTTTTCATGTAGTATTGCGTCCCTCCAGTATGGGACAGTATTCCATGAAAGATAGAAATCTATCTGTGCCAGGCAGTTACCACTCATTAAGACGGCATTTGAAATATGGAACCATTTAGAATTCTGTACTTGGATTACCAGTTGGTGTGGGGGGTTTTGGTTTGGTTTTTAACTATACAATTTTCCTTTATGGTATTCTTTGTAAACGTGGGACTGAGTAGTATGTTAGTATGATGCGTGTACGTCATTCTGAATAAAGCAGGCTTTCTGCTGCTGATAGTGTCTTGCATTGCTTACCAGAAAATTTGGTCTCTGCTACAAAAGACATTTGAATGGTACCACCAGCTGGGTATAGCCAGGATTATAATCTGTGAAGGCGAAAGTTTCCATTGTTAGGTAGAGGACAACTTTTGTGAAGAGGTTCGCTCTTTCCTTATGCTGTTTGGTGGACAAAAGGCTTTGTACCTTTTTTTACTTTCTTGAAAGAGTCTCTTTGAATGGAGCAATTTATTCCAAGTGCACTTTTATCTTGTAAGATCTTGCAAGAACAGTGCATATGTGACTATATACCAATAGGTGTTTAACTTTTTTTAGTACCAGCAGATGGAAGATGAGAACAGATGAAGAACCGGTTAAGTCGTGTTCCATGTATCTTCCTCTAATCTGAAAACGGAGGGTTCTTTCAGTTTTTCTGTCTGATTTTGCAGATAACTTTTTTTCAGTCTCAAAGTTTTGGGGTCTGACTTGAACAAGAAGTGTCCTGGTTTTTTAAGAGTCAATTACATATTAATTCAAAAGAAATTCTGAGTGCTGATGCTTGTGAAAATTAAGTCAAGCATGTAGCGGCTGAACATTTCAGATACAAAGAGATTTCTGAATGAAACGTGAAGATTTAGATCTACTTCACATATCATTTACTGTTTTTTCAATTGTATGTGCTTTGGTTTTCAAGCCTTCCTATAAATGTCCCTTTCAAAAACATTTAGTAATTGCACCTAATTTGGAGATACTTGCACCTTATTTGTGGTCATTCAGCATCCCTTCCAAGACTGCTATATTCACTTGTCAAAAACGCAGTTGTTAGAATGATGTCTGGACTAGAGTAATATTTTGAAGGTACGCAAAGAAACTAATTTTCAACTTTTTTCCAATTGTAGAGATTTGGGAACTAGGAGGATTCAAATCATGTTATTGAGATCTTTACTTATGGTAAGCCTTCTGTGTTCAGTACATTATGTTATAAGCACACAATGTTTTACTTTATGTATTTGTTATACATATAAGTACAGTATGACAACTCTGTATTATGAAATTAAATATACGTTCATATTACATAGATCTGTAGTTTTACTGAGTAAAATTATGGCAGTGTTTTCCCAACTCACATTACAAGCAGCTCAAGAAATTATTCATCCATGTCTTAGAGCACTTCAGTGAATATCAGTTGTAAATGGATATGCAGATCCAAAAGAACATCATAGAGTAGGTTGAGTTGACTAGTTCTGCCAGCAATGCTGGCAACATCAAAGTGAAATCACTTTTGTCTCTAACACCAGAAAAGCTGTAATTAGTAGAATGGCTAGTATTTTTAAAACTCTAGGAATGGATGCCTGTCTCCAAACCCTTAGAGCCTCAGGCACTATTGTTCTTCCCTTCCTAGTATTTCCCAAGTTTCTTGTAAGGTATAATTAACTTTTTTATCACAAATATATTTTCCAACTGTAAACCTTCAAAGCGAATTTCTGGAAAAACATCCTGATGGTGAGAATCAGAAGTGGCTAGTAAAGGAGGCTCTTGCCTGTAGAATCCTGGCCTGTTTTGCTGCAGAAGCTGAAATCTGTTTAGTGACTGAAGTAGGGGAAATAGCATAAAGAATGATTTCGTGACTAAAGCAGCAGAATGTCTTCCTGGACAATGAGTTTCTATCCCTGCTTCGACAGGAAATTTGTGTGTGGTGTTAGGCAAATCAGTTGAACCATTCTTTGCTTGTTAGAATATGAAATCCTGGATTCTGGCTTGCAGAATTGCTGAGCCTTCACAGTTGCAATTTAAGGATAGAAAACATGTTAGGAAGGGCCTTGGGGTTATTTTGCACATTGTCTTCATTAGAGATAGACTCAGCTATGCCTAAACTGTTCGTGACAATATTCATCTCACTGGTCTTAAAAATTTCCATTGAAGATGGTAAGAATTGTTCGAACTATTTAGGGTGCTGCCTAGCCTGTAAGTATGCTTTAAGGGATTCATATTCTGGAAGGAATTTAACATTTTCGACACTGAATTTTGTTTTGGATCCTCTTTTAGAATATGGAAGTAAAATCCCACCATGCACAAAGATATGAAAGTGAGTGTTTTGATGCTTAATGAATTACTTGGACATTGATAAAAATTGTGGAAAAAACGTGGGAAGGAATTTGTGTTCAGAGCAAAGCTTTTGTTGTTGTATATAAAGCTTAGTCTGCACACATAATAAAGAACTAGAAACTACTGAACCCTACCTGTTCTATATACTGAAATGAGCATTGTACGTCATGTATTCTTTACAAGAGAATACTACTTCATAACATAATTAGTCTGTTGTCATGCATACACACAGGCAGACAGCTTAATGTTGTATAGGCAATTAAAATCTGGCACTTCATTAAAAGTGTGCACTTTTATTTGCAGCCTTACTGCTTTTAATATTAGTAATCTTCCATTTTCAAAATGATTGATTAGATACCTTCATGTACCCTCAAGCTCCTCTGCCAGCCAGTTTCCTTTCAACCTGTTCTGTTACGCTGTAGGAATAGTCCTTGCTCACATAGAATCATAGAATCGTTTAGGTTGGAAAAGACCTTTAAGATCATCCAGTCCAACCATTAACCTAACACTACCAAGTCCACCACTAAACCAGTTAAGGGTAGAGTAGCAATTTCACGTTTCCTGGCTTGGTGGCTGGGTTATTTATAATGAAAGTAAAAACTAGGAATCATTAAGATTGGAAAGGACCTCTAAGATCATCATTCCAGTCATCAAGCCAACACCACCATGCCCACTAAACCATGTCCCAGAGTGCCACGTCTACCCATTTTTTGAACACTTCCAAGGATGGGGACTCCACCACCTCTCTAGGCAGCCTGTCCCAACATGTTGTGGTTTAACCCCAGCAGGCAGCAAAGCACCACCCAGCTGCCTCTTCCTCAGGGAGATCAGGGAGAGAATCGGAAGGGTACAAGTGAGAAATAGTGGGTTGAGATGAAGACAGTTTAGTAAGTAAAAAAAGGAAACAAAGAAAAACGAAACCAAGAAAAAAAGAAAAATGATAAAAAGTAAAACAAACCAACCAACCAACCCCACCCAAACGAACCACAAAAAAACCCACCCAAAACCCAGTTGCTCACCACCAGCCAACTGATGGCCAGCCAGTCCCCGAGCAACGGCAGCCCTGGCAAACTGCCCCCAGTTCTGTTGCTGAGCATGGTGTCATATGGGGTGGGGTATCCCTTTGGTCAGTCGGGGTCAGCTGTCCTGGCTGTGTCCCCTCCCAAATCCTTGTGCACCCCCAGCCTACTCGCTGGCAGGGCAGTGTGTGAGAAGCAGAAGAGGCCTTGACGCTGTGTAAGCACTGTTCAGCAATAACCAAAATAGCCCTGTATTATCAACACTCTTTTGGTCACAAATCCAAAACACAGCACCATATATGTTATTAGGAAGAAAATTAACCATCCCAGCCAAAACCTGTACAACACAATTCACACTGATAATGGTATGGAATATGCATAACGAAGATACAATTTTTATGCAAAGTCTCAGATAAACATCTGATTGCTTTTATCGTAATTAAATTTTGGGTTATTTTGTTCCCCTCATCCTCAACAGCATATGCTTGGCAGTTTCTGAATCCTGTTTTGTTTCTGAGATTGTAATAATCTGGTAAGCTCTACTTTAAGGGATGGTAACTTTTTAAACATTTGACTGCTGTAAATGTTCAGCTGCTGAATATTTAAATTGTCAAGTTGAAGTTAACTTTTCCCTGTGTGCCTACAGAGTTTGCTTTAAATAAAAGTAATCGAATGAGGCAAGTCAGCAGTAGTATTAGTTTAAAAAAGAAAAAACAACACCATGGTACCAGATTTCTAAGAAAGTGATGTTTGCTGCTTGCTTTCTTTTTTGCAGTAAAGCAGTACCATAAATGTTTAAGATGTATATATATAGGCCCTGATTTCTCTTTTTTTTCTTCACATGAGCATACTCAGTACCATAAATGAGCAGCTCAGAGCCTGAAATGGAAAAGTCTCTCTTGGAATTATTACCATCTTCATTTTATGCCCTGCAACTTTTAATAGGCCATTTTAAAAAAAAAAACCATAAATGGTACCTTTATTTTTTCTTTCGTGTGTGTTGGTACAGGAGGGATCCTGAGAAATATCACTTTAAAACAGTTGAGGGAGTTCATATGAACATGAGTATTAAAGTCCTCCCAAATTTGTAGTGAGGTTAGGAATTTTCAAAACTAATACACAACTCCTGTTTGAATCCACCTTTCAGATGCCAAAGCCAACTACACTAAAAAGTAAGTGACAGCTGCAAGTAATTCCTACAATGCAGTAATGATACATGCTAATTTTACTTCCAACAATGAACAGGTGACTTCAGGATACAAAGCAACAACGATAACTAATGCACTTCCTCCCCCGTTTCTGGACCCGTTATTGTCTCCTTCACTCATGGAAGACTCTGAGCTAAGGCAGCTGGTCTTGGAAATACTGCATAACCTCATTGATCGGCATGACAACAGGGCAAAGCTCAGAGGGATACGGTAATTCTTTGTTTTTTGTTTTGGTCTACTTGAAATTCTAATTTAATATCTGAATGATAAACACTGTTGATTTTTAAATATTTTTCCTAATGTGAAATGTTAATGTACTGTTCTGTTAAAGTGTCATTTATTGATGGCAAGAGTTTTACAGGTAAGCCTCAGTGCATGATACCTTAAATGACCATTCCAAATATCTGCTAGTTTAACTGTGGAAGACAGAATATGGGATTTTATGTAGAGAAAAAAAAATACGTGGTTGTCATAATTCTGTTTATGGTTCCCCCTCTTCAGATGAAATTTGAATGTCATTGTTAAACATGGATGTAATTAAAATGGAAATTGCTTCAAGATTTGTTTAAATAGTTCATATATTTCACATCCTCTTTCCTTTCAACTTCTTTTTGCTAAAATGACTTTTTTGTTTGCTTTGTAGAATAATACCAGATGTTTCTGATCTAAAGATAAAACGAGACAAAATTTCAAGGCAAGATGTGAGCTTCATGAAAAAGGTAATAGAATGAAAAAGTTAACTTTGCTATCTAGAAAGAAGATAAAGTAACTGAACCAGTTGCTTTGCTTTTCTTCTACAGCTGTGTTTTTGCAACAAGTTGCAAAGATCAGTATTGAGTGATTTTAATTCAAATTACAGTGATTTCAATGTTCAGGTGCTCTTAGAAACTTGAGAGGTGGTTCCATGGAATAAAATTTTCATTTATGTCTTCATATCAAAATCCTTGCATGCATGAAATTAGAACAGTGTATATCTAAACCATGGTCTAGCTCATCTTCTGAAACACCCTCTAGAAGAATTTTTTCTCAGTTTGCTCTTCAAGGAGAATTGCTTAATGAACAAATTTCATGTCTTCACAAGCATAACCCTTGAAGCTCCTCAGTTACTTGGATGTTCTTGAGAATGTTTCAGGATCTACTTTTTATTTTTTCCTTTTCATAAATGGGCAATTTTTTTTTTTCTTAATATTTCAATAAGAAATAAATGCCAATGTCTGACACAGTGCAGTATTCATGTGCAATTCTCGGTATCACCTTGCCCATCTGTACACTTCTACATAAAATAGTACTGTGTTTATAAAGAAGCTACTGTTGTGGTGGTGACCTAGCAGTCGTCTTGATTAATCATGTACTTGTTTGTGTATGTATGTGTATACGTGTATTTTATCCTTTTTTATTTTTTTAATTCTCTGTGCAAAATGATCTAACATCAAAGCTGGCTCTGCTTGGAGTTGGACTAGAGGGCCTTTAAATATCCTTTCTATCCTAAATTATGCTATGATTTGAATACTCATTTTCCCTTTTTTGTCTTTTATAGCATGGTCAGCAGTTATACAGACACATCTACTTAGGCTGTAAAGAAGAAGACAATGTCCAAAAAAACTTTGAACTGCTGTTTACATCTCTAGCTCTTACCACAATTGAACTAGCCAATGAAGAAGTGGTTATTGACCTCATTCGATTAGCTATTGCTTTGCAGGTATGAGCCTGAATCAGTGTTGGGTTCATTGATTGACAATTTATATTGGTAACTGGAGATGTGGATAACTTTTTTTGTTTGCATATTGATCTTCAAATTGGAAATCGCATCATTGAGTCCTAATTTGATCGATCCATTAAGGAAGTGCACTTTGTACATAACACTTATTAATAGCGAAACTTCAACTATCCAGATGTTACAAACTTCTACAGCATGTTCTCTTCAGGTAATACAGCAGATGTGGAAATCTGTTGAAATATTCCCTAGAATCACTGATATATTCATTAGCAAACTGACAAAGTATTCTTACAATCTTGCATCAGTGTTCCGTATAAAATACATGGAATGTCTTCACCTTGAAAGGAAGCTTTTGACAAATATTTCCAACCAATCAATTAACCAAACTGGGCTATTTAATCTTACCTTAGAGTAAAACTCTTATCAATGTGTTGACAGGCCTTATTCCTTAACATCTCCTTTACAGGATCAAATGTTATTTCAGACTTGCATACATTCCTCAGTGAAACTGTATAACTTAATAGGTTTATCTGTATTGAAATTAAAGCATTCAAAAAAATAGTGCTAGCATGTGCCATGGAAATTTGATGAAATTGTGTCCTGTATTCCTAGTTCACTCTCTGTCCTTAGCCTTATTCCCTAATGTGCACCTGCATTATGAAACCTCTGCAATGCAGAGTGCATCCTTAATTTTAAAATACATCACTGAACCAAATCCTTACTTGATGAAAAAGACACTAGGAGTTTTACTAGAGCAAAAATAATACAATCTGAATAAACACAGAAATGCTAATAAGCATTAAATAATTCCCTTTATAGTACTGTATCTGTGACTCACGAGAGATTTTTATTATTAAACTACTGTTTCTAATTTTCCTGGCAAAAGTTATTATCAGCAGGTGGTCCTTATGGGAATCTTAAGGACAAGAGACTACCAGTCATTCACCTGTATTCTCTTTCTGAGAAACAGAAGTTTGAGTGGAGTAGATTTACTTCTCTTCTTAGGGGTTGAATCCTTCAAACTCTCTAACTTCAGATCAATATATACCTAATTCAGGAGTGAGCTAGAAGACTAGAATTTTAAGGTGAGAGGTTTTAAATGCCAAGTAATACTAGAGAGTCATCATATGTCAGCTAGTGTTACTAATAATAATTTTTACTGCCATTTATTTGGGACAGCCTGTTAACTTTGGAGGGTGTAATGCTGCTGTCCTTTGTATTTCAGGATGTTGCCATTATCAATGAGGATAATCTGCCAATGTTTAATCGTTGTGGTGTCATGGCATTGGTTGCAGCGTATCTAAACTTTCTGAGCCAGATGATTGCAGTTCCTGCCTTTTGTCAGCATGTCAGTAAGGTAACACGTAATTAAGTAATTTAAGTCATTCAGAACAGTACACATTTTACTGTAAAATGGGTAAATCACTTCTGTCAAGTAATTGCTTGTGGTGTTGATCTCCTGTATTTGTGTCCACCAACGTTGCTCTTTGTCTTTGGTCTCCAAAGGCATTACTTGCTGACTCTTAAAACCATGCACAGAATATTCTTCTCTCAAGGTATAGCATTTTTATTTTGTTTGTGGTACCATATGTAATGGGCTAAATCGCCATCTGGTATAAGACTTTACAGCCTCACTGACTTTGGTAAAACAATACTGACATGCACAAGACCATGAGAAACAGACTTTTAGTCTAAAGGGTGAGTGCCACAATCTCTTTTCTGGTTAAAAGAAATTCTAAAGGCCTCATTTGTGCTGAGGTGAAGGATTGGTAATCTGCTACAGTAGAACATCTTTAAGCAATTTAGTCATTGGAGAAAATAGCTATGGAACTACTCCATTTGTACTGTTGGTCTTGGTTTTTTTCAGGTCATCGAAACTAGAAGTCTGGAAGCACCTTATTTTCTACCAGAAACAATTTTCAAAGACAAATGCAAGTAAGTAGATAAGAATGTGAATTAATGAACGGTGAAGTACCTATTTTACTATTAAAAATCACACATCACTGAAATATGTTGCATATGTGAAAAATAATTTAGAGGTTTAGTAGTGTACAGGATAGGCAGAGGAAAACCAAGCATTAAAAACATATATGCATATATGAAAAAAAGAGTCTGAAAACAGTTTTTGTTGTAGTCAGAGGCACTTACATCTCCACAATATAGTGTTTGATGTAAGTGCTAACACAGCAAAACGCATTTTCACTGAATCACAGAGTGGGTGACATTGGAAGCGACCTCTGGAGATCATCTGGTCCAACCCCTCTGCTCAAGCTGGTTCATCCAGAGCAGGCTGTCCAGGACCACATCCAGATGGCTTTGGAATATCTCAAAGGATGGAGATTCCACAACCTCCCTGGGCAACCTGTGCCAGTGCTCAGTCACCCTGACAGTGTTTCCTGATGTTCAGACAGAACCTCCTGTGTTTCAGTTTGTACCCATTGCTTCTGGGCCTGTCACTGGGCACCGCTGGGCTCTATTGTCTTCCCACCCTCCCTCCGTTAAGGTAGTTGTACACATTGATAAGATCCACCTTCTTTTGTCCATTTTGAACCGTCCCAGCTCTCGGTCTTTCTTCATTGGAGAGATGCTCCAGTCCCTTAATCACCTTAGTGTCCCTTCGTTGGACTCTCCACAGTAAGTCCATGTCTCTCCTGTCCTGGGGAGCCCAGCGCTTGACACAGTACTCCAGGTGTGGCCTTACCAGTGCTGAGCAGAGGGGAAGGCTCACCTCCCCTGACCTGCTGGCAGTACTGCTCCTAATGCAGCCCGGGATACCCTTAGCCTTTTTTGTTGCAAGGGCACATTGCTGGCAAATGGCAAATACTATTACTCTACAGTTTTTTCCGTTTAACAGAGACTGTATTCTCTCAATATGTAGCAGAATAGATGAGGAACATAATTTAGATAACCAAGAAGTGTTAGGGTAATTTAAAATATTGCAGAGGTATTCAATGGATTCATTTTGGAGTGTATGTTAATTCACAAATAACTGAGACAGTTTTATTTCTATCAAATCGTTACCATTGACCCTTTTTTGTTGCTTGCAGACATTATAAAAGTATTTTACTTAATGAACAAATCTCTATTGGTAGATAATAACTTCAAATATGTATTTTGACAGTCTTCCAAAATCTTTAGAGAAGCATGAAAAAAATTTTTTTTTCCTGACAAACAAGATTGCAGAATCATTAGGAGGCAGTGGATACAGTGTGGAAAGATTGTCAGTTCCATATGTACCCCAGGTAACAGGTAAGTGGTGATCAGTGGCAAAACTGCTAAGTACCAGTTATTAAGAATGCTTGCTTAATGTGTTGTGTGCCAATGAAATGTAGTGTGACTACTTGGCAACAAAACTTAATCAAATTATAATTTTGTTTTCTCAAGATTTTTTTTTTCTCATTAGCTACTGTATTATTGCCAAGAAGTTTCAATTTTGTGTCCTTTGATATTTTTCCCCCCCCTTAAATTGAGGAGGTGGGGAAGAAACTTCTTGAACCCACTTTGAGTTTTTTTAATGAAGTCTTTGCTTTCGAAAGAATACTTAAGAAGATAGTAGCGATTATTACTGTTTTTCTGTGTTCACTTGAGTTAGCAGATGTGGAAGGATTATACATGTCAGCATATTTTATCCTTTTTACATAAACACTGGATGGAACGTATTCCATCCTTTTGCCGTATGGCCTTGTGCTGACTTGAGTTATTGGTCTTAGTCACATTCTCAATGAGCAGATGTTAATTTAACGAAGAATGGGAAGTTTTCCTCCATTGGATACGTATGCTAGCTTAGTGTCAAGTAACACAATAAAAATAAAGTATGCCTGAGGAAGACTTGTGAGAGTTCGTGCTACCCGGGATACACAAATAGTGTGTGAATGACTAGCTAGTATGGGACATTGGGTTTTCAGCTTTTAATATATTTTCAACAGCCAGTTGAGCAACTTACTGAAAAAAATTGTTTGAAGAATTTGTTTTATTAACCATGTGTGTTTTGTGGCTGTACATAACTGGTTACTATTGTAATAGACTATGGGACATCCCAGTCTGAAACATGACCTTCTTGTGAAATAAAAGTACCCAGCAGGAAAATGTGATTCCTATGTTTTGTAGCTTAAACACAGAAAGAAATGTAGTACATATGGAGAGTGAATACCAGATCCGTCACACTTGCAGTACAATTCAGAGACATTGCTGCCTGCTCTTGAATAAGCTTTTTTGGATAGCTGCTATGGGAGGGAATGAGTTCTCCAGAACAGGAGATGTGGTTTTGGCCCAAGTGCTAGCAGGCAAACTAGTGATATATTCTGAGACACAGCTGCAATGTCTGTGTTGTCTGTTGCTGGTTGTCATCTTCTAAAACGGAATATGTTGCTATACTTGACAGATTATTTCTTCTGGCATCCAAAAAACCCCAGTTAACGTTATATTTTAGTATTGGCAGAAGAGGTAGGTAGCAAGTAAGGAAATGTTACATTTTCAAATTTTTACTGCCTTTGCGTGAATGGGGATGGAATGAGAAAGATAACCTGGTTTGAAATTTATGTTAAACCTCTTCTAGAAATCAAGATGTATTTGCACCCAAATACCTTTCTAGGGTTTTTTGGATACTTTGATAAAAATGCATTCCTACACAGGAAGGTAGGTATGTTCTGACATCAAGGTTAAGTGAGGTTAGCTGCAAGTATGTGATTGACTGCCTCTTCGGGTGATGAGAAACAGCCATATTTAATGCTAAATCTTAGCGTATGTGAATCAGATGTGTGTGGTTTGTTTTGGTTTTTTTTAATCTTTTTGTAAAGAGCAGTAACCAAAACTGGTTCCATGTTTGTTATCATATCTAATTAGGATCATTAATCTCTGATCCTGTGGGATATTGAGCTTCCAAGGTTTTCATTTAACTAAGTCAGGACCAAAGTGCATATTTTGGAACTCTGAAACTTCTTGTTTTTACCTCAATGAAATTTTTCATTTCTACTATTATATTATAATGCTAGAATATAGTGTTTCAAAATATATAATTAATTTTAGTAAAAGATGCATCCATTTTTTGTATATTTCTGTGAAAGTTATGGTTGAACACAAAAAGCCAGTAAAGATTTTATCCTATTTATTTCTAGTATTTCTGAATATCGATGGTATAATGCTTAACAATGACTTATAGACATAAAATCATCATCCTGGCTTTGTTTCAGGTTTTGGTACTTCTTGCCAGTTTGAAAGACATTCATATTTGCAACTTTTTGTACGTTGTTCTCTTCCTTATTTGGGGGAGGGGGGAAGCTGATAATTTAAATGTACAGTTAATAATTTTTTGTCTATACAGATTTTTTTTTTTTTTTAATTTAGCTCTATTTCCATCAGGCAAAAAAACTCATAAATGCAGACACAAGTCAAAAGGTAAAAATGAGTTGTAGGTCAGCCTGCTCTCCTGCTAGCTGTGGTTTGTGTATAGGATATGCACAGTCCGAAAAAAAACCCCAAAAACGCTTTTAGAAGGCCTTTAGACCTTTAGGCCAGAAACTGTGTTGTACTTAGTGTTTCCTTCTGCTTTTTTTTTTTTTTTTTTTTTTTTTTTTTTTTTTTTTTGTTTATCTCTTTGATACACCTGTAGCAATGTTAGCTGCTGCAAGATTTGCCTTTGTGTTTACTCTTGATTTGGAACTCTGCAATATGGTAGCTTCCTATTTTCTTTTCCTGAGCAGGTAGTAGGGCTATAGGTATCACTTTTGTGATAGTACTAATTACCTCTTTGAGGGAAATTACAAGAACTTTCTACCAAGTTGGAAGAAGCTCTCAGCTGTTGACAGAACGATGATTCATCTTGCTCGCTGGCTGTTCAGGATAAAGGCCCATTAGTGGGACACGTATACATGCATATGTTCTGCGTGCATCCCGCCAGTAGCTGGGCTTGGACACTGTCTGCCCACCAGCTGCCTCCTGGTTCCCAGTCTCCCCAGTCCCTGGCATCTGGGCATGTGAGTCCCCAGGGCCCACAGCCCCAGCCCAGCTGCTGGCACGGATCCCCCTTGCAGTGCATGTGCGGATCTCGGTCAACCTCCCAGGCTCCATGCTCTTTCTCACAGTTGGCCTGGGCCTCCTGGTCCCTCCAGGTGCCTTCCCCTCAGAGACAGACTGACACACACAGACACACGTGGACACCCCCCGCTCCCAGGCCACTTGATCTGCTCGTCTGCTGGTCCAGCTTGATAGTCGCTCGTTACCATGCAGTGTTGCTGTGCTCCCTCGCCCGCTCCAGACACACAGGCCTTCTGACCCATGGTCTGACTCCAGTTGCTGCGCTCAGACCCCCATGCACACACCTGCACAAAGAATAGAGTCCCTCACCCAGGAGAAGAGAAATGGGATTTAATGAGAGGACGGGACAGGCTGCACTGACGAGGCTCAGGGCATGGCCAGATGCGTGTACTGATCAGCAACCGGCTTACATGGGACTGATGTAATCAGATCGATCGATCGATGGGCCGAGGCCAACTGTATGAGGTTT